CAAAAGACAACCCAGTCTGAGCTCTAGCGCTCTTCCCAGGAAGAAATTTTACGCTAAGTGACATGACCTCAAACCCGACTTCCGATCTTTCTTCGATCAAGAGCTCCTGGAATTCAGAGGAAGACAGCGAATAAATTTCCATGAATAGGCAATACATTGTAGATGACAGAGGTGTATGTTTGGATGAGCAAGACTTCGAATAAAAAAGAAAAAATTTGAATTCAAAAATACCCAAAGTGATTCACTAATTATGGGACAACCTAATATAATAGAGTCGATTCACCCAGGCTGGCCAAGCATCACTGGACTCTAGATTTTACCTCATTCCTCTGGGAAAATAAAACCTCCGGTATTCGATGGCCGACCAATGAGGAACTTCAGAGAATCAAAAACCTACAAGGTAGTGAAAATAAAAAAAAGGTATGTGACACTAATCCTACAAGAAAGAAGGCAAGCTAGTGAGGTGTCGCTTCTCAGTCTGCTATCCCAAACTAGGGGAAACTGCAGGGATTCTAGAGCAACAATGCGTTTTTCAGCGGCATTAAAAAGCTAGTGTGCCTCGAAGAGAAGTGATAACACCGCGATGCATTGACCCTCTATGCGCAGGTTAATTCCAACGAATTGTGTCCTACCTTGAGGTCAGAATTGAATTTTGTCCCAGCTTAGAAGGTGAAGCTGGTGACCTACTTAACAAATCCTGACCATAACACATCCTGGAAATCGTCGTGGAGAGACGTATCTATAGGTGTTTGAATTTTTTCGTTTCATTCGTTTCAGCGGAGTTATGAGGGTGCGACGGTTTGTGATGGACTAATCTGTCAATCAGCGTCAATTTTTCACATTCTGTGAGCGGTGTCATACAACCAGAACAAATGACTTTCCTCCTGATTTCGGATCTTCTACTAATCAAAACTTCCACCACCCCATGTTTAGGCCTGTGTGAAACCATTAAGCCACGGTAAAAGTATTTATGCGGGGCAGAGCAAGCCGCACGTGCCCCGCGCCTTCGCGCCAAGAAAATCGCCCTGGTCTCACGCTGTAAAAAAACGCCAAAACATGTATTATGGTCAAGCCGTTGAACTACTCCCTTCAAGGTTGCTTATTTGCTCAACGAGTTTCACGTAGCCATCGCCTTACATCAGTTTGAAACGAAGAAACGAACCTGTCCAGTCAATAACAGCGGCGATCTTGTTGCTGTCGTTGACGACGAAGATGTTGGAGGCGTACGGCTCACCGTGCACGAACACCCGTGGAGGTGCCTTATCTGCAGCGTCCATATACGTGTCGTGTAGGTACTCTGCTGTGAAATACTTGCCCGTTTCCTGGAACAAGTCTTTCAATTTGAAATTGCAAGAAAATTTGACACGATTCTTTCATTTTAGCCAATTCCCGGATAAATTTCAGAGATTCTGTCATCATGAATTCAACCTCCGTTCCGGCAATGTTCCGTGTATTCGGCCTTGACATTATTTTTCATCCTAAGGAAAGTTCAATTCATCCTGTATTATCCCCAAACATCTATCAGATGGGCCCCTTGAGGGGACTCACACGCAGGATGTGTCTGGACATTTTAGAAACCCACTACATCTCCAATAACAGGTCTACTCCAAAAACAACTTTGGATGGCGGGCAGAGAGGGGAAGTTAACATGGATCAGCCGGGTTGACACGCTTGTTTTGTTCAATCAAACCAGGAAAGACTGAGCTAGCACCTTTTTTGGCGCTAAAACCTTAGTGGGAGACCCACGCGGCCGGCGTGCGCCTTTGCATCGCTCTGCAATCTTGCGTACTTCGGGAAACCCGTGACTCGGACTGCAGCCAGTCAGGGGTGGGGGCAGGTGAATATCGTCGAGAACCTCGACAGGGGGTCGTACCTGTTGGGCTGGTCCATGGGGGGTCGTACTCTTGGGGTCAGTAACAGAAGTGGTATCATGGTGCAGATAGGTAATAGGGTATAGCGCAGCAGAAAATGAAACATCCGAAAAAAACATGATATTAAATTTTCTTTGCAGGTTCAGTCGCTCCATTCCTCCACCTTCATGAGAAGGGCGTATTTGAAGGCAGTACAAAGAATGAAAGTGCATCCCCGCAAAGAAGAGTGCCACATGTGCGCACGCGCTGCAAAGGCACCTCCTCCGCCTATCACTCGCTCCTTCTCCCTTAATACCTCGCTGAGAATGACGCTGTTGTTAGGGACCCTGTCGGAAAAACGACAACCGTGAAGAAAAAGCGCTGGGCAAATGAAGTTGTTTTTTAGGTTACAGGAATAGCACAACACACTATGTCTACTACAATACAGTTTCGTTCGAAGGTCCCCATCATATAACACCTTTCAATCGATTCTGCAACTGTGAGTGGAGGAGGGATGCATGGCTTATACCAATACCAAATCGGATGATGACGATTGCTCCTATTCTTATTGTTTGCGTTCAAAGATATTGTTCTAGACACATTCCGAGTGTTGCCAACGAGTCACACTTGCAATGGTGAATGAGGGAGCGGATTTCCAGGTGGCCGGATCCGACCTCGATAGATCCTCGACGCAATTATCTCTTCAACCAAAAAGCTGTAGAAGAAAACTAAACAGACCATCAGGAAGCGCAAACCTTCCGCTTTCCAAAACTATCTTCCCTTTTTCAGGATCTTACAATATAAGAGATATATTGCTCTTGAAGTGGCAAAAACTCGCGTGAAAATTTCGGCCTCCTCGACATTTACTCGACGAAATTTGACAGACCCTATCTTTCTGCAAGGAAGGCTTCCAGAGCAATTTCGATGCTTGTTGGAAACGCGAAATCCAGCTCTATCTAACTCTACCTCAAGCTGCTTCAAAGGTTGTGAAATGGAGGAATGCAACCTTTTCATCGAGGGTGTAGATTCGGACGTTTTTTTTTGAAATTTCGGCAAATCTGACCCAGTGACAATCGCGCCGCAGCTGCCGTTGAATCGGCCTTTGATACACTCGGCTGTTTTGATATACTCAAGCAAGAATCAAGATTGAATCGCAACCCCGTGTCTTCAGGATTTCTGTGCGTTTCTGAACGAACCTCGCCTTGAGGTCACACAAAGTTAATGCCTCTTTCCTCGAGTCGATATTTCAGTATGTACACAAAAGTATGCAGCGATGGAAGACGTGCATAGATGACAAGATGAAGCGTCCTTAGCATTATTTTGCAGAATTTTTTTGATTTGTTTTGCAGGATTTATTTTAATTGAATTAATTTGCTCTGTTAGAGGGGGTCGTGCCAGGATCTCGATTTCGGGGGGGGGGGGGGGGGTCGTACCTCTGCGACCACGTACTCGACACGATTTTCACACCTGTGGGTGCACGGCGTCCTTGACCTCGTGAACAAGCTGGAATGTGTATGCGTTCACGACAGATCTCCGCTCGAGGGAGCCGCCAGGCGAAGCAAAAGCGCCGCGCCGGCCACGTGTCCCCCCCCCAACTGAGTACTCGCACGCCTTTTATGTCAGCATGAGGTACGCCCGCACGGAAGTTCCGTTAACGTCGAACAATTGTTCTGTCTCTATAGAGATTATCTATTCTATACGATCGCAGTATCTAAAACATTGTCGAAGAGGAAGCGTGTAACTCACAACAAAACGTGAGTGATCGACATCGTGACGTTCGAAGAAGTTCACTACATCGTTGTAGTTGGAAACCAGTGATGAATAGTATGAAGGAGGGAGGTCGGCGACCTGAACACCGTCAGATTTCGGGTGAATATAGTTTTTACAGCTACTTCGTACCGTTGTGTTCCATCCTGTATGCTTCATCGAAATCGTGTGCAACACGGCTAGTTGCTGAAGGAGATCTCGAACCACGTCGACCTGTAGCCAAACATCTTTATGAACACTGTTTGTAAGTATAGTTAAGCAAAAAAAGATAATGTGGTGGCATCCTGTGACACTCTTGCATTTCAAAAAGCTTGGTGCTTTTACGGAGCCTCGGAGAGAAGTAAAGCATAAGCGGCCTGGAAGAGAATCGAAGTGAGATTCGATCCTCGGGCCATGTGCTAGATATGCCACTACACCTCCTGCGCTCCAAATTGCTTTACTATGAGACTAGAAGTTCCATAACAAAAGTTCAAGCTGAAGCGTTTCAAGTTGACGCAACAATCCCAGATCGAATATGTTTGGTAAAGGCGATCGATAATGAATTTGTGGACGCCGAGTTGACTGCAAATGAAAAAAGGAACATAGAAAACCGCCGATGGAGCTCTGAGCAAAAGTCCTCCTCTTCCCCCTTGAAATGCGGAAGGGTGGGGGTCGGACGAGCTGTCCGAACTAGCTAGCTAGCTGCCCGAACTAACTAGCTTGTCTCGGTGGCGTTTATTGCTGGCTCGTGGCCGTAAGAAATGCGGTTGCAATCGCATAGCACTGTAATAGCAGTCTTCGCAGTTCACTCAAAAACTGATGAGTGTGATTCACTCTTTTCAGGGCGGAGAGCAGTGACCCACCAACACGGGGAAACGTCTGGCAGCAGCGGCCGAGGACCGCGACCTCTTCCGTTCTCGATACCTCATCTTTCCAAGGGCGACGCCCTCTGCACAAGCTGCATCAAGATCTGATCGTTCACTCCTGTCTCCAGTGGTCTGTTTTGTGTTCACAGTATTTCTTGTAACTGGCTGTGTACTCTTGTACTTAGCTTTCTTTGTATGTGCCCAATCCCAAATACTTTGGTTCTATTGGTGTCTTAAGGATAAAACTTGTTAAACGAACTTTGAAGGCAGATGAATGATTTGGCAGCTTCCATTGCGCGCGCTCGCTTACTGCACCAACACAAACAGAGACACATGCACCAATTAACAGAGAAAACGATAATGAAACGATTTAAAGGACGAATTCACGATGAAAAAGCAACCCATTTCAAATTAACCTAGGGATGGTGAGTGGTACACGAAAGAAGGAAGAACCATGAGAAACGGCCCAGAACCCGAGAAATGGGACCCCTTCCTTGCCCGTTGATTTGAGCATTGATGCGACTCTCATCGCTGTGCCCTCTTCAACACTACGCTCTCTCACCTATCTAATCACTCGCCACCAGGGTGAAAATCGTGTCGAGGAAATAACCGCCTCTTTACGACCCCCCTCCAAAACATGGACTCTGATACGACCCCTTTTTGTCCTCTGCACATCCGGTTTCATATCAAAAAATGCTAGTTTCAGATGTGCGAGAGGGACGCAGCGCCGCTGCCACGCAAATGCGGCTTGATCCAAATGCTAGATTCAATTCTGCTCAGATTAGGTTCTCCTTCTTTCCTTTAAAGACATTTAACCTTTGCCACATTGGCCGGAAAGTAGAACATTGAAGGAGGTACTGCCCCTACACAGTTGAACAGTCTCGCGCTCCAGTATAGCGGCGCTAACTACCCGCGATCGCGTCGCGCGCTGTGCCTAGAGCGCGCTAGTTGGAAAAATCGTCAAATGTACCCCCTATTTAAAGGACTATAACTTTCTTCATTGATAACCATTTCAGAAAGTGAAGGCAGCTTTTGAATGCACAAGACTTCTAGTTTCTAAATTGTGCTGAGCGTTTTTCTAAGCACGCCTATTCTCGAGAGTGGGAGACGTCGAGGAATTGTCGAGGAAATTGAAATTTACATGCGAGTTGGAAGACAGTAGCTGTCTTCATTGGCAATGCTTTGAAAATCGGAGGAAAGCGTTGTAAAGTAGAAGATTTACGCTTTCTGATAGGTGCTCCAGTTGTTTCAACGCTTTCTAGTTCGCGAGAA